TAGAATGGAAATGGTGATCCATTGAGGATAGAATGGAAATTGATCCGTAATACTCATTGTAGTAGAATGACTATGTAATTGCAGATATAACTATAATGGAAATGGTGATCCGTTAGTAATAGAGGATTGAACAATACTCCCTTTGAATAATAGAGGATTGGAAATGAACTAATAAATGTACTCCGTTAATATAACACTCCGTGATAGTCAAATAGTAATCACTGGATAGTGATCTGAATAGAGGAATGGTATAATGAAGAGAGTAGAGAATAATGCAATCCGTGATAATAATAGAGGATAGAATGGAAAATGGTGATCCGTATAGTAATATAGGATAGAATGGAAATAATAGAGGATAGAATGGAAATGGTGATCCGTATAGTAATAGAGGATAGAATGGAAATGGTGATCCGTGTAGTAATAGAGGATAGATAGAATGGATAAATGGAAATGGTAAATGTAATAGAATACTGTTTAATTTAAAAAATGGTGATCAGAGCATTTGGAAATTAAATATTATCTATAAAATAATATTTAAACAGAAAATATATTAAATAATTGTTCGAAATTAATCTGGAAATTTCATCATTTAATAGAGTAGAATAAACCGGATAGAAGAGAGAATTTCTCTGGTCCCAAATTAGAACCTGTGTTAATATAATGGAAATGGTGATCCGTGTATAATAAATAGACCAAACCCGGATATAAGAATAGAACCGGTGATATAGAGGATTGAATGGAAATGGTAAATGTAATTAATACTGTTTAATTTAAAACAGAGCATTTACTTAAATATTATCTGGGTTAAACAGAAAAATAATTAATTTTTGGATTGTTGTTTCATCATTTTTCAGTGTAACCCGGATATCCCAAATTAGAATAAAATAGACCAAACCGGATATAAGAGAGACAACTCTTTCTCTGGTCCCAAATTATAAGAGAGATTTTCCTGTTAGAGCCTGTAATGTATATAAAATAGACCAAACCCGGATATAAGAGAAACCCGGATATAAGAGAACTTCTTATATGTAAACCAACAACTCTCTATATATATATATTATATATATATATATATATATATATATATATATATATATATATATATATATATATATATATATATATATATATATATATATGGATAAATACATATTTTTATATGTCATTATTTAAATATAGAGAGATATATATATATATTGATACATATTTTTATTCAAACTATATATTGATATATATATATACAATATCATCATCATGGTATTTTTTTTATTTCATATATATAATATATATATATCCTTCATTTTCAAAGACAAAATATATATATATGTTCATGTATATATATTAAATTTTTTTTTACTTGTAATATATATATATATATATTATATATAAGTCGATATTATTTAAAGGAAGTGATATCATGTTGTTAGACATTTTTATTCAAACTTATTTGTATATACAGGGGATCATAACTTTCAAGTAGTGTTTATTTTCAAAGACAAAATTGTTTTTTTTTTTTGTAGGAAGTATTAAAACTATTATCGTTAGACAATCCTTGATATTTTGAACTATTATACATTAGTTTTAAAACACATTTGTGCAACATTTGTATTCATTATTAATTTTATTAAGTTTGGCTTCACTTTTTTAATATAGTTTTGAGAGTTTTATACTGTTGTAAATGTTTATAAATGTTGGATGTATCATTCAAATGGAAACCCAGCAGCCAAGAAAATGTTGTTGTAGTGTGTGCAACATAAATCTTAATTTTACTGTTGGAGATACAAACTCCCAGAGGAATAAAAAACACGGCAATTTTCTCGCTTCCTTTAATAATGACACCAAAAAACTTGGCCGTGAATAGGTTCCAATTGAAAATAAGCAGACAAAACTTATCTAAATTACTCAATTAAACATGTCTCAATGAAAACATGCTGAATATATATATATATATATATATATATATATATAATGATTAGTTCTCCTTTTGCCTACATAGAGTAGATCTTAATTGCAACCCCTTCAACAATTCTCAGCATATGCTAAGAACATACTATATGATATGTCAAACCAATTTTCTCCATATTCATTTGAATACGCATGATTTTTGACTAAATGTTGGCTAATAGCAGACTTTAGAGCTGGTTGAGTCAGCTATGTTAAATTGCACTACTCCCCCCCCCGTATAAGCATCATCAAAAAGAACTACAATATACTTTAAATAATATATAATTTAACATATATCAAGATGAATAGAATTTTTGCCCATAAAGTGTTTCGATATTTGCCTGTTTCCAGTATTGATGAGGTGAGCGGTATTCCTTCCTAACCTTTTGTTTGAAGTCATATGGAATGTCAACATCTTGACTGTCATTATTTTCTCTTCAAGTTACATGTAATAACCATTTAAGTTGTTGCTGTTGTTCAAAGTCCTCAAGTGATACCGTTTCACTTATCTGGTAGAGTTCTTTGAGATTCAACAGTGCCAGTTTGAAGAAGGATGGTTTTTATCAGTACCCTCTATCTTCATTTGCTCAAAGCCTTTTGTAACCACTGATGTTAGAAAGCAGTTGTATACAGCTAACAGTTTAGATATTTCTGAACAGATTTGGTGCCATCATGGCATCCATATGTAAGTCTTGATCTGATGAGTCTGTTTGTGTTTTCAGATTAATGTTTTTGGTTTTGTCTAAACACAAATCTCTCTTGTGTTCATATAGGCAGTCTTTTAGATCATAATTATCTGATAGGCAATTCTATTGTTACAGAAAATGGAACAGAGGTAACCACATTCATGCTAGTTCATTCTCTAAATGGCTAAAACAAAGATCTCCTTCTCTCTCTTGTACAAGCAATACCTACTGTTTTTGATAGTATATTGAAGTAATGAATAGAAACAAAAACCAGTTGGAGATTTTCAGGATTCCTTTTTGGCTCAGTTCAAAACAAGTTTTTTTTTCTTTTTTCTTTTTGAATTCATTACAAATTTATGAAATTTTATTATTTGAGAAAAGAAGAAAAAAAACTTTTTTATGCCATCAAATATGGTATTTTCTGACAGACGAAGCCTCTTTCATCAAGCTACAGACACCACATCATCCTAATCTCTGTCAACTGTCGTCAACTTGTCAGAATATTCTAATTAAATACTTTCTATGCATTTAACAATAAACTTCTTTTATTATCCATTTTCTCTTCCAGTAACATGAAAACAACTTTTCTCTTGTTTGCTAATTTAATGGAAGATATTTTGTGACAATCTGACAACTTCTTCAAAATGGCCACAAGACAATCGTACCAAAGACAGTGTCTCTATAAATAAACCGGTTTATTCCAAAACAATTCTTAAAGGCAAAAAATAACAGAAATGAAGTAGTTTTCATTTTTGGGACATGTACTTTTAATTTATTTTTGATGATTGTAAAATATATCTATGTTCTCGTTATTAGAATTACCATACATGTGGGCTGCTACCACTACTAAAATGGTATTGTGACTCCTTCTATATCTTTTTTTTTTTTTTTTTCATCATTTCATTACAAGCAAGGCAATAAAGCCACTAGGACACAAGAGGTTACTGGGTGTTAGAGAATATGAGAAAAATTACTCTTAAGGAGAGAGGACAATAAAAGAACAAGAATTAAGAAAACAGAAGATAATGATTGACATTGCATTTAAATTTTTGAAGATCAAAGGCAATAAAGCCACTAGGATGCAAGGGGTTACTGAGTGTTAGAGAATATGAGAAAAACTACTATTAAGGAGAGAAGACAATAAAAGAACAAGAATTAAGAAGACAGAAGATAAAAATTGACATTGCCTTTAAATTTTTGAAAATCAAAGTTGACTGGGAAGCAGTTTTATTGTCATTTTGCATTTGAACTTTAAAATTGTATCAATTTAAAATGAAAGCTATTTAAATCTTTTGCTGATTAAGGGAATAAAAGGGCTGAATCATTTCACCCCAAGTAAGGCAATAAAGCCATTAGGATGCAAGAGATTACTGTTAGAGAATATGAGAAAAGAAAATACAAATTATTATTAAGGAGAGAGAATAATAAAAGAACTGGAATTAAGAAGGCAGTAGATAATGGTTAATATTGCATTTAAATTTTTAAAAGTCAAAGTTGATTGGAGAGCAGCCATTTTGTTTACTTCATGGAACAAAATCTTCTTGTATGTGTGTTGTAACTTAGAAAGTGTTACTGAATGAAGAATAACTAAAATGGAGGTTGGAAATGAAATGGTAATCTTTATAACATCAACAAAATACAATACTCGCCAGCGGCTTGAAGTAGGTAAACCACTGCTCGTGATAGACTATTTAGACAGCATATTACCCCCACTTATAATAGTGTCCAACATATCTATGAGGATTGGGACATCAGTGTTCATAGGTACAGTATATAACGCTATCTATCTATCTCCATTTGTTCTTATCCATTTATCGGTCTGTTGTAACCAAGAAAAGATTACTGAATGAGGAATAACCAAAACGGAGGTTGGAAATGAAATGGTAATCTTTATAACATCAACAAAATACAATACTTGCCAGCGGAAGTAGGTAAACCACTGCTTGTGGTGGACTACTTAGACAGCATATTACCCCCCACCGCCACTTACAATAGTGTCCGATGTATTTATGAGGATTGGAACATACCCATTTGTGTAATAAAAATGTATCTTGAGTGCAAGATACTTGGAAGAAAACATGGTTGATTCAAAAGCTACAAGTTAAGGAAAACCTGATCTCGTAGCTAAGAGAATTTGTGCTGTATGCAAATTTCTGAACCTCAGCATGAATGAGAGAACTGCAGATGGGGAGGAATCGGATGGTTGCGCTTTGTGTGTGGAATTTTCTCATTGATTATGATCCTGAAAAGACCGGGTACAACTGGTACACCAAACTGACTTTACCTTTTTGCAACACCTTGTTAAAACGATTCTTTTCATTTCAGAGTACTGTGACCGTTGATCGCAACATCCAAGAATTGCAGACATTGATGCATGATTTGCCAGATTATGCAGAACAGTTTCTTAATATGATTTGCAAGATTTTAGAAGAATATCGAGACACTTGTCACTCAGCTTACAGGGGTAAGGTTTTTTTTTTCTCTTTTCGGTAATGTACCAAACATTTTCTACAAAAAGAGTTTGGTATCTAAATATCTGCTATTTGTATTTTCAGTACTTTTTATTATTATTTATTTTTCTCTGATATATTTTCACTTGAACTAAAAGTTATGGCAGATGCTATTTGTGCACAACAGGTCCTCTCGTACAACCAGCTGGGCATGCACAAAGTGGTCCCAGAATAATGTTATTAGATTCAGAATTGTTGGTGTTTTCAATGGCGGGAAGTGTAGGGTTCAAAGTGGCAACCCACTTGACAGAAAAAAATGAAGAAAAAAAAAAGGAAAAAATGAAAAAAAATTAAATGGCAAAATGGTCAGAAACCAGATGTTTAATGTTTGAGAATAACCTATATAAGTAATGTCCTGGTTAGGGCCGTGCAGAGAAAGAGAGGAGGTGTCTCCCTAACCAAGCATATCAGTAGCAGGCACCCAGCTGAAGTAAGAAGAGTCGATGGTATCTATGTGTTACACCCTCTACTACCAGAGAGAATACCAAGTCCGACCCAGGGTGGAAGGCATGGGTGGAGGTTCTCATTGAGATAAACACCAATTTATTTAGAACCAGATTCATTTATGTATTTAGCGCTTCATCAATGGATCTGCAAGCAGCTCTGTAAGTCTAGGTGTGCAGAGTGGGGACACTGTGGCTCAATAGGTCCCCCCTTATGACTGGCGAAACATGCAAAGTCAAATAGGCTCTAAAGTACAGTGTGTGATGGATAATTTGTCATCAAAATCATGCAAAAATGAAAATAACACTGACATCTCATTTTAACAGATATATTTACCAAAATTATACAATATCTTCAAATACTAAAGAGTAAATTTATTCAATAAAATTGCCATTTGGCTTCAACCGCGGCCTCCAGATGACTTCAGAATCTCCTGAAACTCTTCTGGACGGTCTCATTGTTTAAGTTGGTGAATGTTGCCATAATCTTTTGTATCGGTTCATCTTTGGTTTTACAAGGAGTTTTGTTGGTCTCTTGCTCAACTGCACCCATATATAATAATCAAGGGGGGTTGCAGTCTGGGGGAGTTAGGTAATCTCATTTATAATTGTCTGACAGCCATGATTGGGTTCTCCTGTTTTGTAGTGTGGTGCAGAGTCCTGTTGCCAGACATAGGGTCTTCCAGTAGCGACCCTCTTGACCCAGGGCAACACTACCTTTTCAAGGCACTTGATGTAGGCCTCCATGTTGAATCTGAGGCTCTCACCAACAAATTCGGGAGTTGTTTTCTTATCATAACAATCAAAGTAAGTTTTCTGAGTTGCCATACCTTCACCATAATACTCATCAAACTGTTTCCGAATCCACTGCACCGTTCTCATATTGACACCCAAAACCTCTGAAATGTTTGTATTGGAGCTTCCAGTGTGAATTCCAAGCAGTACAGCATGCTGTTTCCAAATTTCTGGTGGAGTGAATTGTGTCACTAGTTCTCTTTTTTTCTGGATGGTGCCCAAACAGACCCTACCATACTGTGCAGTTGACAAAATTAAAAACAACCAATGAACATGCATATAAAATGGCGACAATTTACCCATCGCACCCTGTATGTTGTCAAAGTCAGAAGTGTTTTTTTTATTAATGGCTGGAAGGTAAAGTCTATATAATTAGAATCTTGGTTATGGCTAGAGAGAGAGGAGCTGTCTGTTCAATTAGTTATGTCGGTAGCAGTTGCTTAGTGGAAGAAAGAAGACTCAACAGAACCTACATACTATCAGAGAGAATACTAGATCTGACCACGGAAACACATTAAAATAAGCATCAAATTATGGAGAACCAGAAACAGATTCATGTCTTAGATTCTTGCTCTTGATTTCATCTTCCGTTTCTTGTGGACTTTCTGCAAATCTTTTCCTTATTTTGTGCACACAGGTGCAAACAAGACACAAAACACAACGTGGAGATTGATTTGGTTGGTGGTGAAAGATAGAGAGGGGTCCCCCTTGTATGTTCCCACTATAATGATTTTTGTGAATGCTTTTAAGTCATTGGCAAACTGCAGCCCATTTAGTCATTCTGAATAACATGCTTAATTTCACAAACAAAGATTACATAGTGTTGCTTGAATTTTGTAAATCTTTGGCAAAAATAATGTTTTGATCATTTTAAGCCAACACGATTTTCACTAAGTTCATATGTGTAGATGTATTTTATTTTTGAGACAAGAAACATTTATACTAATTTTTTTTTTTTGGAGAAGAAATTTACTTCCTAAAAATTTTCAAATGAATAAGAAATAAATCACATGCAGTGACATGTGTCATCAGTGATAATATTTTTTTTTTTTTAATCTTTTTCACCCCAAGTTAAGGCGGAAGCCACTAGGATAAATTTTAGTTCAAGGGTTACAGAAAATTTGGAGCAAGATCAGATATGAAAACTTTAATTATTTAATTATTAAAACATCTTTTCTCAAAAAAAAAAATCCTTCATTTCTCAGGAATATGCTTTATTTTAATGGTCTTCTGTAGTGAAAATGCCGAGGTACCTACTATGAAAAATGACCTTGAATCTTTTTTTTTAGTGCTGCCCAAATATGATGATCCATAGAATTTTGTGGCCCACTGCTCAAAAAAACGTTGCCCATGCCTGCTTTAATATTACGAAAGAGGTACAAAGACAAACCAAAATACACGTGTAAAAAACAGAAAACATTTTAGTTACAAAACATACCAAAATGCATTAAAATATTGTCTAAAAATTAAAACTTTCGTACCATTTCTAAGGAATATGCTTATGCATATGGTCTTCTGTATTGAAAATGGCTGAGGTACCTACTACGAAAAATGACCTTGAATCTTTTTAGTTGTGATGCCCACCTTGTGATGATCCATAGATCAGGTGGCCCACTATTCGCAAATGGTTGCCCATGATTGCTTAAAATGATCAAAAATTGGCTGCAAAAGGATTCATTTCTTGTGACCTTGTGTCAGCAATAACTGACACAAAACATAAATAGTTTCAATTTGATGGGTCAGTGAGCTAAGGATGCCCTCAAATTGTTTACAAGTCCACATTGAGTATCCTTTATCTGAAATTCCCAAATCTGAAAACCTGCAAAATCTGAAAGTATTTTCAGGTGCTGGCATGACTTGCCACAAATGGAAAATTCCAGAAAGCCTAGCTATGTAGCCTTCATTGGCACCAGCTTTTTTAAATTTTTTTTATTAGTGATAACCACAGCAACACCTTCATTTGCGGATTACTTACCAGGTGTTTTGTGCTCAGTAAAGATATAATTCAAGTCCTTCATGTATATATTTTTTGTAAGTAGTGATCATGTTTTTTTTTTTTTTTTTTACACATACAGAAATTATAACACATTTTTACGTGAAATCTTAATTTTACCACTGAAAAATCCATGTGAGCATTACATGATTAGCATCATTATCTGTATGTACACAAAATTTATTAAGTTTCATACAAAACTGCTTTCAGGGTATATGTTATTTATATAAAACTACCTTCGGGGCATATGTATAAGCTTTGTTATGAAATGTAAAGTGGATATTGTGTTTATGCTTGAGTTCCATTCCCAAGAGTTCCAAAATTTATTTCTGCCAAAATTTAGATGTTTGTTTCCAATTTTTTTTTTTAATCCCATCTCAAGAATTTTGGATAAAGGATTCTCAAACTGTAATTTAGAAAAAGTTGGATCAAAAGTGCTGAATTCTCAAACTTCCTAATTTATAAAGAAAAATAAAAAAAAGAGATAACAATAAACAAAAGATAACAATTGTTGCATTTAAATTTTTTTACCAGATCAAAGGCAATTCTAAGACACAAGGAACTAAATATGAGACTAAAAGAAAAAAAAAAAGAACAAAAATTATAAAGACACAAGATAACAATTGACATTGAATTTTAAATTTTGAAGATTTTTTTTAAATCAAAGGATGCAATAGTTAAGTTTAAGAATAAAACTACTATTAAGGAGAGAAAACAATAAAGAACAAAAAATAAAAAGACACAAGATAACGATTGAATTAATTTTTTTTTTGAAGATTTTAAGGCAATAAAGACACTAGGATGAAGAAACAATAAAAATATGAAAAAAATTTAAAAGAAAACAATAAAGAACAAAAAAAAAAGACACAAATAATGACATTGAATTTTAATTTTTTCTCCATCAAAGGCAATAAAGACACTAGGATGCAAAGTAGTTACTGAGTGTTAGAGAATATGAGAAAAACTACTATTAAGGAGAACTGAAAACAATAAAAGAACAATAAAAGACACAAGATAACGATTGATATTGAATTTTAATTTTGAAGATCAAAAAGGCAATAAAGACACTAAGATGCAAGATTACTGAGTGTTAGAGAATATGAGAAAAACTACTATTAAATAGAAGACAATAAAAGAACAAAAATTAAAGAAAATAACGATTGACATTGTATTTAAATTCTTGAAGATCAAAGGCAATTAAAGCTACTAGGAAAAAAAAGGGTTACTGAGTGTTAGAGAATATGAGAAAAACTACTATTAAGGAGAAAAGACAAAGAACAAGAATTAAGAAGACAGAAGATAACAATTGACATTGCATTTAAATTTTAAGCGACCATTCTTTTTATAGAAGGGAAAAGACTTACTTCCTAGAACAAAGTGCTCATGTATGTCTCTTGCGTGCAAGATACTTAGAAGAAAACATGGCTGATTCAAAAGCTACAATTTAAAGAAAACCTGATCTTGTAGCTAAGAGAATTTGTGAGACAAATTTATGCCTTATGCAAATTTCCAAACTTCAGTAGAAGAATAGGAAGTAAGAAGATAGATGAAAATGCTTGATATTGTTTTTAAATTTTTGAAGATCAAAGTTTGACTGCAAAGCAAGATTTGGTAAGAGAGTTTTACAAGTATGATAGAAGAAACTGTTAGAGAATTTATGGTTATATCTAGCCATTTCAACTTTAAAATGATGGGACCTAACTGTCAATCTAGTAGTACACTTAAGTTCATAAAATCAAGGTACCAAAGAGGAAAGCTGATCAGAACAATTACCATGAAGTTCTCCTTAGAAAAGCCACTGGGAAGCTAAGTTACAGCAGTTGGAAAATAATTGAAGCTGAGATGCTAGGTCAGGATTGATAATATTACAGATAAATATATTGGCAATAACTCATTTCAAAAATTAAATGCAAAATGTTTCATCTGTTTATCTGCCTATATCTCTGAGATGAGGTATTAGGATTATTTACATTATTTGGACTGTTATCCTCATCTTCATTGCCATATTCACAATGTTTCTGCAATTGTACGCTCTAGGCTTCTTTTGGTGATTGGAATTTCGAACCAAACCCTTTATTTCATCCACCTAGGTAGATTGTTCTAGTTCCATGTGCCATGCCTCTTCCAGATGTCTCGGTTATTTCCCTTTAACTCAACTCTCTAAGTTTTGTGGCCTGGTATTGAACTCACAACACCTTGGGTCTAGTCACTGGATCTAACATCTTTATCCTCAAGGACACATAGCCCAGTGGATAAAGACGTTGGTTAGATGCAGTGACTAGACTCAAAACAAAACAGTTCAATACTAAACAACACAAAAAATTGTGTATCAAAAATTTTGGAGAGTTGAATTAAAGGGAAATAACTGAGACATTCAGAAGAGGTGTGGCATAGCAACTAGATTTTCAATCTACCCGTTTGATGAAATAAAAAATTGTTCAAAATTCAATCACCTGAAGAAACTGGGCACATAAAGCAACCGAAACGTTGTGAATATAGCAATGAAAATGCAGATAATGTTTCGTCTATTGTGTCCTCTGCTCTTCTTCAGGTGTTTGTCAGTGCAGATTACATTTAATGTGGTACTCCTTAATATTGTTCTTCCTCTGCAGGAATTGTTCAATATGACTCTGATGAGAAGAGAATCATCAGTGCAATGTGGGCAAAAGATGAAGACATCAGCCGTTTCCTCAGGTCAGTCTACTTTTTTACCCCTTGTTTCATCAACCCCCCCCCCGGCCGAGTCCAAAAAATATATCTTTTACCCTTGTCTGTTTATCATATAAATATAATTTGGTTTATCTTTCTCAATCATTTTATTGATTTTCAGGGATTACAACCATATCATGAAGTTAAGCAATATCAAGTCTGGTCACTATCTATATGGGTGACTCCTTGGGAATACTAGGTGCTGTATTCTAATCCCCCAGCTATAGGTTAATTAGTAAGTCTTGTATCACTAACTCATTATCTCCATTCCAGAAAAAAATCCTACAATCTCAAGATATTTTCTGGCTTTAAATAACTTGCAAAGGGTTGATAAGCTGTAGAAAATAAATGAATCAATCAATGAAATACTGATTATAGACATGTCGTTTAGATTTATTTACATTCTCTGTAATACTATTTGAACAATTTTGCTATTACATTTGGTACACACCCACACATAATACATATATATATATGTGTGTGTGTGTGTGCATGTATGAAATACTGATTAGGTACACAGGCTGAAGATTTATTTATATTCTCTGTAATATAAATGTATAGAAACTAACGTGGCCACAAAATGAGGGATCATTTTATCTATTGATTGTAATATAGAATTGATCCCCCACTTTATATTCACATAATTTCTGGCTTTAAATAACCTGCAAAGGTTTGGTAAACCATGGAAAATGACACAATGAAATACCGATTAGCTACACAGGCATGTCATTTAGATTTATTTACATTCCCTGGTATATAAATGTATAGAAACTACCATGGCTACTATTGCTGCCATATATGGTCTGGAGCCCCTTCTGTTTGCCTTGGGGTTCTTGATAGACTCCAGAGGTGGATATGCAATATAATTGGCCCTGCTCTGGCCTCTTGTCTACAGTCACTTTCTCACAGACGTGCCGTTGCCTCTCTCTGTCTGTTTTACAAATACTTCCATGGCAATTGCTCCGAGGAGCTGCATTCGCTGGTTCCCAGACTTCATGAGTTCAAGCGTCCTACGAGGCTGGCATCCTGCTCTTACCCCTTCACTGTCGAAACTCCTAAATGTAGCCGTCTCTTCTACTCCAATAGCTTCATGTCTTGCACCTCTCACCTGTGGAACTCCCTTCCCTATTCCAGTTTCCCTGATAGCTATAATCTCCAGCTATTCAAATGTAATGTCAATCGACATCTCCAGTTGCCATGATCTATCCGCTACCCTTCTCCTCATCCTTTCTTCTATCACTCCTATCTGATCTTGCTCCAAATTTTCTGTAACCCCTTGCGTCCTAGTGGCTTCCTGCCTTGCTTGGGCTGAAACGCTTAAAAAAAAGAAAAAAAAGTGAGGTGTCAGTTTATATATGATTGTAATATAGAACTGATCCCCTATTTTGTATCCACATTATAATTACTTATTTGTTCATAAAATTCTGATTAATATGAATCCACCTCTTCTCCACCCATCTCTGGGTTAATTAGTAAGACTTGTATTACTAAACTATTATTATCTCAAAAAAAAAAATAGAATCCATAAAATATGAATCAATCAATCAAACACTGATTATCTGGGATCCTCTTTTGGAATTTTGACAAGTAATCTTTCTTAATATTATAAGTAATTATTTTAATCAAGTTTTAGAATAGGGAAGAATCCCTGCCTCTTTTTTTTTTTTTTTTTTTTAATTTGTTTAGATTGATTTTTTTTATTCTGGGCACTGGTCAAAATTCCTACAATTACACTGGCCAGTATCATTAATAATATTTTTCTTGGAACATGTATTATGATCCAGATTATTAAATTGGTTTAAAATTTTATTATTGTAAATTTTAAATCAATGGAATGAATTAACAGTAAATTGTAAACATAATTGACCTTTTACCTTTCTATTTAGTTAAACTTTGGAATTTGATTATGCTTTTTCTTATATTTTAATTGTACTGCATTGCACCATATATGGCTTATCTTTATATTTGTAAGATTAAGTTGGATTTAATATAAATTTGTATTAATCTCCTGGTTAGTATTAGTAAAATCTTGTATAGATATATTAGCAACTGGTTTTTATTTTTGACATTTTACATTGATTGGTTAATGTTATTAACATCTTACATGAAGAATCATTATTTAACATTTGCATATTAATTTACCAAATAATTCTATGTATTTAAGTTATTTACTAGTTTCTTAAAGAAGCTATTTATGAACTATAAAAAATGTTTATGTTGGAAATTCACAAAGCATATAATTCATTTAGCATTTTGTTGAATTACTACTTCACCCCATTTTTATGCCTTAGGAAATGGCATTGTCTAGTTTGTATAATTTATGTAACTATTTGTATCTGCTCTAGTTTGTGTCAAGCTGCTGTTAGCTGCCAATCTATGGGTCATGACCCATCTATAAAAAATATTTTTTTAAATTTTTGCTTAGTTTAAATTCAACAGAGGTTATATTTGATTGGTTGATCAGAGTGAAGCCCCCAAAGCTTATAACCACACTTTTTTTCTTTCTTTCATAAAAAGAGGTTGTATTTTGTTTTTAAATTTAAATAAATCGTTCACTCGCCAGTAATTTACAATTGTCTGATGAGATGCATTGATACACATCAAAACATGACTGCAATTGTGTAAAAAATTTTTGACAGGTTTTCAATGTAATATCCTAAAATATATATATATATATATATATATATATAATAGACATCCATTTATAAAAATGCACAGTTGATATTCACATGAAATTGGAGAAACTGTTAATATATAAAAAATACATAATTATATATATATATATATATATATATATATATATATATATAATATGAACATTGAAAATCAACACTCAGAAGCGACAGCATGTTTCATAATTAGACACAATCGCCTGGCTGCCTGTGTTCAATTGAAACAGCCTGTCGCCAACCTGGATCTGTTCAATATTCACTTTATATTTATATATTTACATACTCTATCTCTGATATTGAGCACTTTATCCCATAAATATAGCACACCTTTAAAACTATATTTCTTCGTATATATATATATATATATATATATATATATATATATATGATAGGCATCCATTTATGTTGTGAGATAAAAGGTATTTCTCTGTTTGGTCAAAATTCAGTCCTTTGGTAAAAAAGACTGGAGTTACCACTCCAGGGCACAGACCTAGGCAATGGTATATGGAGGGCCATGAGCTGCCCAGACGATATGCATCCTCACCTCCTCTTGGCCATATTGACAAGATCTAAAGGAATACAAGGCATTACATTTGGGGATGACTTGGCTGCAGAAGTTTCCAGAAAGTTGTTAGTGTTGGCAGCCCACCGCCTTTGGGGCTCCACTCCAGGTTTTTTTGTCTGGATTTACTTCCATAGCATTTTCCATGTTTTTTTTTTTTTTTTTGGATATAACCCCAAATATAAATATGCTGATTTATGAAGAACAAAAATTTAAAACATGGTAAAGTTTGTTTATTTTAGTAGACAAGTATTGAAATACTTGCAAAACGGGGTTAGATCTCATAACATCTTGGATTTTGGTACTACCCCGCTAACCCAAATGCATATAAATGCATGGTACATCTTAATAGTTGATATTCAGAACAAATTCTTTATGTATTTGATCTCAGGTCTCTCCCAAGTTGGCGCAGCCTGCTGCCTACAGGAGGCCAGGAGTTGAATCTTACAGTATGTTCTGAAGAGGAAATGCGTGCACTGAATTTGAAAGAAGCCATGATTCTTATCAGCAACCTATCCACTGCAGACTCCCTCATTCCACAACAAGAGATTATTACCGATGTCACTCAGATGAGGACTGTTGCCAATGTACATGAGAGTTTGGTAAGTATCAAAACACTAACAAAATTTAATTAGTCATTTTATATGGGGAGCTAAAATAGATTTGTCTGAATTTCTGGGATAAGTAGGTATCATTATTATTTTTTTTTTTAATAACTTCAAACCCAGCAAGGCAATAAAGCCACCAAGATGCATTATTGAGGAGAGAGAACATATTGCTGCAGAAAGAAATATAAAGGGGAGACAGGCAATATATATTAAGGTAAAATATTCATGAACACCAGAAAGCTGTAACATGAGGGAAAGTGAAAAAATCAGACTTGCTGACCACATATGGAGAGAAAAGGGAGATCACCACCCTCTGTGGGATCAGGTTGAGATCATAGACAAAGAACACCATTGTAAAATTTGTAAACTTAAGGAATCAGCACATATGCTAGGCCACAAAAATCTCCTGAGCTGACCAAGCATAGAAATGAATACAATATGGGAACCAGTAATAAGGAGTGTCAGAGTTGAAACATTGTATATAACAGCATCTATAACAACCAAGATGAAAACATTAGTGGGAGATTTTTTTTTTTTTTTCATTTCAACCTCAGCAAGGCAATAAATCTGCTAAGGTACAAGGGGTTAATGAGAAAAAAAAAAGATGCTAATTGACATTGCATTTAAATCTTTGAAGATCAAAGTTGACCGAAAAGTGAGAAATGCAAAGGAAGAAACTATTAGGATAGAACTTAGTTACATCTTGCCATTTCAACTGTATAATGATAAGACCTAGATGTCTAGGTGCATGAGCATACCCATGCACACACACACACACACATGCATGTGCACATTATGAAAGGAAAAAAATCAACCTTGCACTGATGAAAAGGGCATATATAAAAGGAAAAAATGAGAAATATAAACAGTCATTTGCTGACGAGTGGACGGAGTGATTGCTGGAGGGCCTGTCTACAAAACTCTGGAGCTGAGATGTTGAAGGTAACACCAATTAGCTAAGTGATATTTGTATTAATTCTCTGTCTGTCAGTCTCTCTCTCTCTCTCTCTCTCTCTCTATATATATATATATATATATATATATATATATATATTATATATGTTTGAGTTTTATTTAGATGTAATTTATTTATATATGCTCTGTAATACATTGAGCTCTCTTTGTGGATCAGTTTTAATATTTTATATTATTAGGCTTCATTTGGATTACTTACCCACAGATTTTTACCTGTATGCATATCTCTCTCTCTCTCTCTCTCTCTCTCTCTATATATATATATATATATATATATATATATATATATAGATGCATGTTTCATTAAATAATATAGACAAGTTGTATCTATTTATTTTAAGTAAGTTCCTTTCATATTGTCTGATAAGCTTAATAACATTATCATTGAAAAATGAAAGGAAATCACCATATTGATATATGTTTAAATCCGATCTAAGCTTTTGGCTTACATAAGCCATTATCAAAGATGACAATTACATTTCAATATATCAAACAATACACGGACAAAACAATAATATATATACTCACACTGCAACCAAGAAGTGAATGTCTCATTCCAAAAAACATCCCTCTAGGCAACACCTACCCATGGAACTTAAAAGTTAGTCAGTCATTTCCTAATATATGAGTTGTCTCAAAACGAGTGTGACAAAGAAGCGTAACAATTTTTTTTTTGACTCTGACACATGTAAGGTTCCATATTAAACTTGGCCTTATGCTTTATACTATTCATGTATGAGGATGTGTAAATTATTCAGTATACCTTGGAAGAGTCTATTTATAGAAAAGTCAAAGCTTTTGGTTTTTGAAGGTTCCATTGTGACATTACAGTTGTGATTGAGACACACACAAGGATGGTGAATGATTTTATCTGCCTTGTGTGTTGTTTTATGACCAGCTGTGGAGTCTAGAGGTAGGTGTCTTCAAAGTGGCCACTCACTTGATCAAAAGGGAATAAAATAATAAATAAAAAATATTTGTGATCAAGTGACACCTTACCGGATGTTGAAGGTTTCCATTTGCAGGCAACTGTGACAGTTTAAGTTACAGGATTGAAAGTACTTCTGGACTCACTGTTGGTGTGATACAGGCTGTCCATTGAGATAGTCTTCAGAGGCTTTGCATTTTGAGGTCAAGATTAGCAAAGGGGTAGTTGGCGAATGTCAAACTTGTCATTGGTGGAAGGGAAAAGCCAGTCTGTGAGACTTACCTGACAGAAGTTGGTCACCTGCTTAACCACTGAGACTGAAATAAGCAACTGAAGATATGGGTAAGAGGATTCCTGTTTTTCATTTATTTTTACCTTTCATTTTCTTCTGAATGAACAAGGGACCACCCCCAGTTTTGTGCACACCATTGTGAATGTGGACAAGAAGAGTCATGCAATGTAGGGGTTACATGTCCCTTCAGTGAAAAGCTGAAAGTAAATTCTGTAACAGCTGAAGTGACTGATATTTCTTACCTATTTATGGGTTGTTTTATTATCTGTTATATCTCGTGCAAGATATAATAAACAAAGTAACCCGAGTGTTGGTTTTCAATAATAGGTTTATAATCGGATGTAGGTGTGTCAAGTACAGAGACAGAGTCGGGAGTATGCTAACCTCAATAGGTGTTAACAAACGAAGACTTGACGACTGTCCGCTGTGGTCGTACTTAATCGGCAACCAGTCCGTCCATTATCGTGAATGGGGAAGTTGGGTTATATCATCACAACATTATCATTTGTGTATTTACAGAAGAATTTTTCTCTTCTAGGAATGGTTTGCGTACAGTTTGGTATCAAGAACACCTTCTGCACAAAAGAGCAAAGGAGTGGTAAGTAATTTAAGAACCTGAAGACATTCTTGTTTTATTCCTGGCTGACAATTGTTAAGGAAAAAATCCTAAAAATGAATCCTTGCACTTATTAGACAATTAGAAATGCTTAAGTATCTGTCTATATTTCTGAGATGAGGTATTATGTACACTATTTCCATTGCTTGGTCTATCATCCGCATCTTTGTTGCCATATTTATCACAATGTTTTGGCCGTTGTACACTCTGGTCTTCTTCAGGTGGTTGGAATGTCGAACTGAACCCTTTATTTCGCTCAAAAAATGAATGCTCATATCCAGGAAAATTACTAACAATTTTTCCCTCCTAAAAATGAATATTAGAAATTGGCAAATATATTTATTAGCCAATAAAACTTCTGAATTTAATAAATCTGTCTTTTAACTTCCTGTGATTTGATTTTTTCCTATAAATAGCATAACTTAAATTAATAAATTTATCTCTAGTATATCATCTTTTGCCGGGACGTGAATAATACTGATTTCTCAAATTTTGTCTCCTCAAAAAAAATTATTAAGTGATAAAGTTTTTTTCGTAAATTATATTTATTGATTTAAAAGTATTTTCTGAAATCAGTTTACAGAGTTTATATTATGAAAATACCCAAGCAAAAAAATAGAGAAAAATCACAACATATTTCAGCATTAGTTGTATTTGCGCTGATATTAACTGACAGCCTGCTGCTATATTTATCCTATGCATACATAAAATAGATTTTGGCTTCTCCCGTGACAATGTCATACATACACTCCATTTTGTACTAACACAATTCATTTCTTTTGTGCTGTAAAAAAAAAAAGAAGTTTTATGAGGAACTTTATAACTTATTTTTTCAGCTTAAAAGAAAACAAAATTCATTGGACACATGGCACAGTGGATAAAGGCGTTGGTTAGATCCAGTGACAGGACCCAAAGTTCAATACCTGGTTAAGGCAGTGGAGAACTTTCAGAGGGGAATTAACAGGAGATAACTGATAACTGACATCCATTAAACATGTCACGTGGAACTAGAACAGTCTACCCCAGTGAGTGAAATAAAGGGTTCAGTTCGACATTCCAACCACCTGAAGAAGTGAAGAAAGCCGGAGCGTACAATGGCTGAGACGTTGTAATAAATATGGCGACAAAGATGAAGACAATAGTCTGAATAATGTAAATAGTTTACATAATACTTCATCTCCGAAATATAGACAGATACTGAAAGGCTGAAACATTAAATATGGCGACAAAGATGAGGACAATAGTCTGATTAATGTAAATAGTGTACATAATACCTCATCTCAGAAATATAAACAGATACTGAAGGGCCAGAACGTTGTAATAAATATGGCGACAAAGATGACGGCAATAGTTCGAATAATGTAAATAGTGTACATAATACCTCATCTCAGAAATATAGCCAGATACTGAAGGGCCGGAACGTTGTAATAAATATGGCGATAAAGATGAGGACAATAGTCTGAATAATGTAAATAGTGTACATAATACCTCTTCTCAGAAATATAGACAGATACTGAAGGGCTGAAACGTTGTAATAAATATGGTGACAAAGATGAGGACAATAGTCTGAATAATGTAAATAGTGTACATAATACCTCTTCTCAGAAATATAGACAGATACTGAAAGGCCACAATGCTGTAATAAATATGGTGACAAAGATGAGGACAATAGTCTGAATAATGTAAATAGTGTTTTCTGATGCCTTGATCTTGATCCCCCTCCTTCTCTATATCCTTTCCTCAAACACCTCTCTTTACTCTTGCTCCCACTCTTTGCATGCTTGTGGCAATCCTGCCTTTCTTTGGGTGAAATGCTTAAAAAAAGGAAAAAAAAGAAAAGACGACCCATAAGGAGTTGATATATACTGCTAAACAAACAAACCATCCTCATAATTCCAGGTAAACAATTTTACACTTATGTTTTTACTCTTGTTTCTTTTCAGGATATTCCACCTGTTTCTGAGAAAACACTTGAGTAAGTGATTTATTTTTTATTAAATATAGATACTAAGATTCATGTGACACAAGGCCACAATTGTGGAGCACCAGAAGTAGATTACTGTGGGAATTCTTTCTCAGAATTGTGACACGCTTATTATTTGGTGCCAACCAGAAAAAAAATGGTTAACAAATTAAAAAAAAAGAAATATTTAAATTAATAAGAAAGTTCATATTAATATACATCAGAATAGGATTTAAAATTTTTAAAAACAGTTTTAGTTTTTTTTCCAAATTTTTATTAAATTGCTACAGGACATTGCCACTAATGTTTTATTATGTGGGAGGTTTTTCTGCCACACCCTATATTAATACTAGTTTACCCAGACCACCGAAAATAAAGACATATTTTGTTATGGCCTTACTATTATTGAAAGATTAAAAACTGTCTAAAAACTTTATTAAAAGACGTAAAACTATTTCTTATTTACAGAGTAATTTCAAATCTTTCAAATCAAACGAAGATTTGACTTCAAGGAAACATTTGAATTATTTGAATTGGGGGGGGGGGGTTAGAAAGTTCATGGAGTATAAATGAAGTTTTATAGTTTGTATCAATTTCTAAATTTTAAATGAACATTTCCTTAAAACTGATACTTTTTTTATAGGCGGTTTCCACAAAAATAAATAAAGATTTAATTAAAAAAAAAAAAAAGTGAATTTAACGGTTCAATTAATAGACACTAGAACGCATTTGATGTATAATAAAACTCAAGGGAGTTAACCCCATAAAAAAATTATGACGCGTAATCTCCCTTAGATTCCATTCTATATTTGAAATGCGATTGTACCTAAGGGAGGTAACTCGTTAAAAAATAGTTTACTGAAACAAGAATTTTTTCAGGAATAGCATACAATTAACCATTTGATAGAAAGTTTTCTAAAGAAACTTTAAGCTAAACCTTCAAAAGATATCAAGATATATTCCTGAAAATGTAAGTGAAAGAAATCACTTGTATCAGTTGGAATAAAAACGAGCAATTTAAGTGCAGCATTAGACTGGTGTCAAGGTCTCATCAATTTATAGTTGAGCTGGCTAGATGCAAACGTAAATTCTATGCTAACAGTTTCTTCTCTCGCACTTCTTGCTTGTGGAACTCCCTTCCGGCTTCTTGCTTTCCAGTCAACTTTAATATGCAAAAATTTAACTGCAATGTCAATTGTTATCTACTGTCCGCCTGATTACTCTTTTCTCTTTCAGCACATTATTAATATTTCTGTTCCTAATTCTTCTGTAGTCTGTAACCACTTTGTGTTTTAGTGACATTACTGCCTTGCTTGGGGTGATTCCAACAAAAATAAAAATAAAAAAGAAAGCAAATAAAGAAAACTAAATGGACATGAGGTGAAATACTTGATTTGTAGGATGTAGTTTCCAAAGGCTGATATTTAGAAGTGTTTATAATCTTTTAAATTTACAATTGAAGACTATTTATTAATCTGGCCTGCATATTATGGGCAAACTAGTAATTGTTTACAATTGTAAACTAGTACGTTAGTGTTCAAACCTAGATAAAAAGAAAGGTTTTTAAATACTGAGAGCTGAGTTCAATTCCAGCTGTGTTCATTAAATTCACTTAGGCGTAAATATCCTTGGGAAAGGCATGAATCCATCTCTTGTTCCCCCTGCTACTGATTAAATAGCAGGACAAATCTGGACCCTTGGTCTACGAGAATAAAAACTGAATTTAAACCAGTTTGTCACTGTTTGGGCTATCTTTGCCCAAGACACACCATGGCTGCTGCAGCTGCAGTACATGTGATTCCCCTACAACCCTAATACAATGATATTTGACCTGTACAAGGCCCAAGAGGCACTTCAGGTAGAGGCACCACCCCAAGCAAGGTGATAAGATGCAAGGAGGCACCAGAAGTGAAAGAGAAGCAAAAGACGGAAACAAAAACCAAATCCGAAACAAGAAACAAGGTACAAACCTCTACTTCTGCTCAAAAGCCAGTGGAGAGCATGAATAAATATAGAAAAAAAAAATTATTTTTTTTCAGTTGTCACATTTTTGTCATAAAGAAAGTTTGTAGTGGTGTTTCAAATTTCTTTGTGTAACTTAATGATTCCTGCAATTCTTTGCCGTTTCTGAATTCTCTTGCAGTTCTTTGAATTCCCTTGTCACAGACTTCCAAGATTTGGCAGAAATATGTTTGTTATTACTCCACCTTGAAGTCCGCGTACATTGCTTCTACTACCTGCTACCTGTAGCCAAACAGGTAAGGCTTGATTCAAAGCAACACTGCAAAAATCTGGTAGATCTTCTGGATCTCTTTCTGTCAATTCACCCCAAAATAAAAAGAATTCTCCCAGAGTGAGGCCCTTCCATTGCACTCTGGTTAGGTTGACCTTTGCAATAAACTCCAAATGTTGGCAACTTGGGTACACTATTTCTAAGTGTGTGGGTCTATGTTCGTGCTCAGCCTGATAAAAAAGCCAAAAACAGATTTTTTTCTTTTTAAATTGTAAAAAAACAATTTCTTTGAATATCATCCATACTTCCAAAATGTGAATAACTCCCTGATTTTTGGCAATTTTTCATTTTGTGCATTGGAGTTTTTGTGAGGCAAGCTATGCAAATTTTGATTTATAATTTCAAAAGAGTGCAAAAAATTTGATAAAAAAATTAAACTTTGATTTAAAATTTATAAATTTCTGGAGGATGTATTAATATTTGTGATAAGTAACTTTACATTATTTGGGATGAATTAACAGAAAAGATTTGATCTTTTTCTGTGTGTTATTTCCTTTCATGGCTCTCTACAACTTCCTATCCTTCATAAATCTTAACATTGTTTGTCTCTTTACTATCATTTCTCCTCTTTGTTCTGCCATCTGTTTACATCAACTCATTAGGTAGGTCACTTTCTGCTTTTCTTTGTCCTTTTTGCCTTCAATATGTCCTGTGAGTGTTAAATTTTCCAGACCTTCTTTTCTCATTATGCATTTCAGAAATTTCAACCCTCTTTTTCTGATTTTATTTTCCTTTAAATTTCATTCCTGTAGAACATCTCTGGTCTTTTCTTCATCTGTGTGGAAATTGTCCAGTATTTACTGCCATATAGAAGCATTCAGATGTGTGGTGTGGTGCAATGGATAACGAGCCTGGCATGAGAAATTGTAGATCCAAGTTTGAATTCCAGTCGGGTTCGTTACATTCACTTGTTTGCAAATACACTTGGGAAAAGTACGAATCTATCTTTTCTCCCCACTAGCTTTGAGTTGAGAACAAGACATACTGGGTCCTATAGCCTTGGTTGGTGACCAGTCTACTGCAGAAAAAAATGACTACTGCGGGAAATCAACTGCCCATTCGGTCATTAATCGAAAGTGATATGATTGCTCAAGCATGTATCATGTACGGCACATACTTGACAAGGATTGATATTACATAGCAATTCAGCATGCTTTCCTTTGTTTCTAATGAAATTCTCCTATTTCGTAATACTTTTAGTTTGATTTTTCTATGGCTTATCGCATCCTGGGTAAGATGATAAACTACGTCCAACAGCAAGGCCTCTGATCAGGAGGTTTTGAGGAGCGTGGAACCACCCCTTAATTGCTGGTGTTCCCAGGTCCACACTGACCCAGAGTGGTAGCACCTGTTAGGGTCCCAGCTATGGGCAATTTGTTAACTCCGAAACTGGGGTAAAAACACTATGGAAGTGTAAAAATAGGTTTTAATACCAGAAATACTTTGTAAAAAATTATTACTAGTAATAAATTTTTGAAGAAAAAAACAAAAATATTACCAGCAATACGTTTATGAAAAAAAAAATATTACTAGCAATACGTTTTTGATTGAAAAAAAATTACCAGAAATAAATTTTTGACAAAACAAAATATTACCAGCAAAAAACAAATTTGTCTGCATTAAATTACCAATTGAGATTGATATGTGTAAAAAAAATTAATTATAAATTTTTCTATGATTGAAGCCATTTCAGGTTATTTAAAGCTAGAAAAATATTTTTTAGATTGTAAGAAGCTTTTTTTTTTCTTTTTAATGATTTAGTGATACAAGTCTGACTAATTAATCCATAGCTGGAGGTAGAAGAGGTGGAATCATATCTTTCCCCAAGGGTATTTGAATGTAAGTGAATATAACAAAACCAAGTGGAATTGGAACTCGACTCATCAATTAACAATTCCGAGCCTTTATCCATTTCACCACGTGCCATGTTTAATGGATGTCAGTTATTGGTTATCTTCTGTTGAACTTTCCTCTCCAAGTTCTCCACTGCCTTAACTGGGTATTGAACTCACACTCTTTGGGTCCTGTCACTGGATCTAATCAGCGCCTTTATCCTCAAGGACACATGGCACAAGTGGATAAAGGCGTTGGTTAGATCCAGTAACAGGACCCAAAGAGTGTGAGTTCAATACCCAGTTTTAGGCAAAAGAGAACTTGGAGAATCAATTAACAGAGATAACTGATAATTGACATCTTCATTAATACATGGAACTAGAACAGTCTACCCCAGCGAGCGAAATAACGGGTTCAGTTTGACATTCCAACCACCTGAAGAAGTCCGGAGCGTACAATGGCCGAAACATTGTAATAAATATGGTGACAAAGATGAAGACAAAAGTCTGAATAATGTAAATAATGTTGTTGTTATTATTATTTTAAAAGTATAGCAATATATTGGCACATTGATGATGATCTGTTTACTCCAACGTCCAGTTTAAAATATATATATATATATATATAATATATATATATATATGCGGGGACACTTTGATGCAGTGTAATGGTTAAGAAAGAAATCTTATTGAGAACAATTATGACTGAGTAGTGAGTTCAATCCTCAAAAAAAAAATGCCCCTTATTTTCAGCCTTGTGCCACATCCAAGCTGCGCTTGAAAAATCACTATATATCCTGTGAAGCTATGTAAAATACCAGGTTGAGAACTGGCATGGGCTAGCTGCTCTTGATGAGGGTGAAAGGAGTCTCTCTGAACTTTGGTTAGCAATCCTTTGTGTGTTGGTTTCATGATAAAAAGACTTCAGATGAGAAGGAAAATGCATGACAGCTTAAACCAGTCATTATATTGTGTGTGTCTGCCAAGAGGCATGTACTGACTGGTATTTTTTGTGATTTGAGAAAGTGAAACTCCGTGGTGATAACACGTGAAGAGATAGTAAAATGAGTTTCCATGGCAAGTCTTTTTGCACCATTACTTTTTTATCAACAGATCCAAAAAAAATTTGCATGGTCCAACACAAGCCTTTCAATTAGCAAACAAATCATTTTGTTGGTTTTCTGATAACTACATCTAATTAGGTCCAATTGAATATCTCTGAAAAACTCTCTTTTCAACATCAACTTCATCTTGGCACTTGGAATGTTTTGAACTCTCAGGACAAACAACTCAGCACCAGAAAGAAAAACAGCTCTGGTCACATTGGAGCTAAAGAAATACAACATTGATAAGGCTTTAGACTGAAAAAAAACCATCAGTCGATTACATGAAACGAGAAAGCAAAATAAAATGTCTAACATTGTTCCTGCTGCACTTGGATACAATACATTCTCCTGTATTGTTTGTCATTCTTTTGTTTATTCTCAAGATGGTCTCAAAAGTCATGCCCATCATAGGCATGCAGATAATAAGTTCATGGTCATCAGAACCTAATATGTCAAACTTGACATGAGAAATCCATTATAGCACATGAAGTGCTGGTTTTAATAAAACAGAGCTATATATATATATATATATATATATATATATATATATATATATAAATGTGTGTGTGTGTATATATATATATATATATATAAACATCCATTTTATATAATCCAAGTGAATCCTAATAATATAAAATATTAAAACTGATCCACAAAGAGAGTTTGATGTATTTATTAAAATTATTTATTATTCCTGTGTATGTAATATATATTATAATTATTTTTTAAAAAATATGATTCCTTCGCTACATAAGTGTTCTCATGTTCAAAAACAAGAGCCGAAAAACCTCAATATAATTATTAAAATTAAATTGAATTAAAAAATCAAGTCATTTGGCTCTAAATTTTTTTAAACTGAGAACACTTATCTTAGAAATCAATTTTTTTTCTAGATAATTATAATTGAAGCTCTACTTCTGTATGGAAATAACTGTTTTTTAAAAATAAAAGACAAAAAAAATAAAAGAACTTTGGATTATTTACCTAATGTATTATTACCTATTTTTTATATAACTGCACACACACATTTATATCATAATATATATATATATATATATATATATATATATATATATATATTTATATATTTAGGCAGCAATCCTTCCTTTATGCATGTTTCATTAAAAACGACAGACAAGGTACTACGGTTGAGCTTTTTATTTAATTTTTCTTGTGTTCTGACAAGAGCTTTCTTTTTCTGGACAAAGAGTGTGTAAGAACTGTCCAAATGTTCTGTATTTCCGAGCGCTTTCGGCTATACCTTTAGCCATTATCAAGGATGATTCAATTATCAGCTTAGTAGAGTGTGTGTGTTCTGTGTATGTTCAGTGTGTGGTAGTGATGTTTTAGTTTCCTAATACGGTTAGCACATTGTGGCTTTGTTCATAGTTAATATTGTTAAGAGTTGGCTTTTTTTTTTTTATTATTAAAGCTTCCATTATTTTTAGTCTTTTTTTTTTTTTAAGTGGATGCAGTTAATATATTTGTGTTTTCTACTAGTATGTTCCTAATAGTGTAATAGTCCTAATTACAAACAAGATGAATCTTCTCTAAGACATATTATAAAGAAATATACTACTCCTATTGATCCTAATAAAAAAAATCAAACTTATTATCTATTATAAAAAATTTAAGATAGACAATCAAACTTATCCTCAAAAAATAACAACACACCAACTAAGTTTTTGATTACAAAGAACAAACATTATCTATGAGTTCAAATGCCCTTTAAGGAACTGTGTTCCTCACCAAACCGGACTCATAAATAATTACATCGGCTACACAACCACATGTTTATCCAGACGTCTTACATTACACCTATCTGATCACAGTTCCATCAGAACACATTTAAACACACACTCAGATTTACCCGACACTAACTGTTTGTTACGAATAAATTAATAAACAAACAGTAATTTTAATTTATTTGTAACAAACAGCTATTTCTGAAGAAAGATTGAGGTCAATCTGAAATATCAAATATATATATATATATATATATATATATATATATACTACATTATATTTTTAATTTGTAACTTTTATATATATATATATATATATATATATATATATAAAAATAAATATAAATATATATATATATATATATATATATATATATATATATAGTTCATATTTATGTTAATGTGACTACACATGAGCACAAACAAAGGGATGATTTGGAATTTTAAATTTGTTAAATTTTTTTTTAATTTATAAAAATTTTGCATGTATAATCTAGGCAATTTCATTTAGATTCTTTTTCTCTTTGTTTCCATCACTTTTGTCATTAAATATCCCTAAATATTTCATATTCAGTGCAAAACAAAAGATTCATAAAATATTTAAAAAGAGAAAGGTGGTCCTTCCTGATAAACCGAAAGAATAAAAAAAATATATTGTTCTACCCACAAACTCTATTACAATTACAACTGAAAAATAAATTATCTAAACTCAACATAAAATTTGTCACTACCATGTGTAAAACAATAAAAGACTTAATTAATACAAAACAAAAGAATAAGCTAAAATTGAAGAAGGAATTTACTCTATTACCTGTAATAATGCCCACAAGGAATACATAGGTGAAACCTCAGTGAATTTAAATAAAAGATTATATGAACACAAAATTTTTTATCTTTTTTAAAAAAAACACATTAAGTGCATTATTTTACTTTTTTTACATTTATATCTACCACATTTTTATTATTAAAAAAAAAAATGCTGCATCTAATTAAGAATTTGGTATTTATAAAACAAAAATGTTTAGAAAATTGTTTAATTGCTCGGTCATGCACAATAAATTTGTTTCCAGATTCTTACAATGTTTCCCCATTCTTTGCAGATCTTCTATTATCACAATGTGGGATATTTAATAACAAACGTGATGGAAATAAAAAGAATCTAAATGAAATCAACTAGATTATAAACCCAAAAACAAGTTTAAAAAATATATTTAAAATTTTTCCTTAACTTAAAATTCCCAGCATCTCTTTTTTAGTGTTAATATATTAACACGTTTTCAATGTTTACATAAACTTAGTCTGATGAAGTCCTAAATGTCGAAATGTCACACAAAAACTTTTTCCTCTTTGTCATACTTCTTTACCCTAAAATTGTTATATATAAGAAAAAAATATATATGTTTGTCCCACATAATATATAATATGTACATCACATTTATTTTGATATTTTTTTTACATTTGTTGTTCTGTATTTATTTCCCAAATTTTATCATAATATGCCAAATGGCAGTGTCTTTTTGATTTTAAATATGAACTCTTCACTTTCCTTTTACTTGATTTATTTTTCCTTCTAATTATCCTTTTTCTACCTAAAATCATTTCAAAATTTTCTTTCTGTCCTTCCTTCCTTCCTTTCTATCCTTTCTTTCTTTCTATCTATCCTTCCTTCCTTAATTTCTATTCTTTTTTTTGTTTCTTTCTTTTCCTTCTTTTCTATTCCTTTTCTTTGTATCTTTTGTTTTTTTCTATCTTTCATCCTTCTTTTTTTTTTTAGAATCTTTTTCCTTTCTTTCTTTTTTTTTTTTATTTGTTTACTATCCTTTTTTTTTCTTTTATCCCTTCCTTTTATCCCCAAATTCTTTTTTTTTATTTTATTGTCCCAAAAAACAATTTTTCCTTTCTTTGTATCTTTCTTTTCTTTCTATCTGTCCCTTCTTTTTTTGAATTTCTTTCTATTTTTTCTTTCTATTTCTTTAAAATTTTCTTTTTCATTCTTTTTTTTTTTTTCTTTGTCTCTTTTCTTTGTCTTTCATTCTCATTTTCTTGTCTCTTCTTCCTTTCATCCATCCTCCTCCTTATTACATTTTTGTCGTTTCCTTCACTTACTCAATTCACTTTTCTTCTATTTCAGTCCAATTATGCAGGCCCAATTGATGACCTTGACCCTGACTCCAATGTTCTGAAGCTCAACAAAGATTTATCCAATATGGAAGAAGTCTTGTCCCTTAGTTTGCAGCCAAAGAAATTCAAGCAAGTCCTCTTTTTCTTGATTCTCATCAGAAACTCATTATTAATGTAATCATTTTATTTCACATGCTTGCATATTCACACAGGGTATCTGGTGGCTGTTACAGAGTTAAAATTTTCTCTGCAAAATTTTAATAGTATTGTGGTCTGGAGACTTTCTGATGTTGCCAGTTCTTCAAATCTTCAAAACATTTAGTTATAATTTTTACAGGCTAGGATTGTCTTAAATTATTTGTGACATGTTTTTTTTACTCAATAATATCTTTCAGTTCTTTAATAATTTCTTGGAAGTACGTAATTTAATGGTAGCCATTACAACAGTTCTTTTAAATCAAAGTTCAAAAAGAAAGAACAATTTTTATGGTTTAGTGGAAAGAGTAAAAATAAAAATAAAACAAAAGCTGTCTGATTTTTGGTTTCCAATCAGGCTAAAAGGAATTATTTACAATCAGACTAATATCCTCATCTTTGTTGTTATTATGGTAACGTTTTGGCTTTCTGGGATGAGGAATTATCATTATTTCTATTATTTACAGTCAGACTAATATCCTCATCTTTGTTGTTGTTATCACATTTGGCTTTCTGGGATGAGGAATTATCATTATTTCTATTATTTACAGTCAGACTAATATCCTCATCTTTGTTGTTGTTATGACAACGTTTTGGCTTTCTGGGATGAGGAATTATCATTATTTCTATTATTTACAGTCAGACTAATATCCTCATCTTTGTTGTTATTATTTTTCATTGTTTTTTGTTTTCTGGGATGAGGAATTATCATTATTTCCATGGATTATTTACAGTCAGACTAATATCCTCATCTTTGTTGTTATTATCACACATTTAAAATGGGTTTCTGGTTATAATTTTATTTCTATTATTTACATTCAGACTAATTTGATCATTTTTGTTGTTTTAAACGTTTTTGGCTTTTTTGAATTTTTTGAATTATGGGGATTATTTAAAAAACTAATATCCTCATCTTTGTTGTTGTTATGACAACGTTTTTCTGGGATGAGGAATTATCATTATTTGAATTATTTTTTATTAAACTAATATCCAATCTTTGAATTATGACAACGTTTTTTGGGATGAGGATAATTTTAATCATTTAAAATAGACTTGTATCCTCATCTTTGTTGTTTGTTATTATGGACATTTCAGCTTTTTGTGAAAAAGGACAAATGTCATGTAATATTTAATAATTTTCTTTTTTTGTTACCAAAAGAAATCCTCCTGTTCTTGTCATACTCTTTTTTTTTTTTTTGGAATGCATCCTTGACCATTCCAATCTGTCTATGGATCTCAGTGTTGCATTTACCGTCCTCTGTCAGAACACTTCTCAGATATTTAAATTTCTGCACCTGCTTGATTTTAATGTCTCTGACCTGCAAATCTCATTTCGGGATCATCCTTTTACTGATGATCAAGCATTCTGTTTTCTTGTAGTTTATGCTTAGTCTCTTCTTCATAATCTCTTTCGCTACCTTTTTTTTGTAAGAGATTTTGCAATTTCTTTTCATGTATTTAACTCTTTCTTTTACTAATTTGTTGCTATTTTTCAGGTACATCTTTGAGAGTCTTGGTTATTTGGTAGCCTCGATTCTAATCAACAGTATCCAGTTTCTAAAAAAGATGAATGAAAATGGAATCAAAAAGATGTAAGTTAAGTCAATAGACTTTGAATTCTTCTAATGAGAATGAGAGATGTCCTGGGTAAGATGATAAACTACATCTGGCAGCAAGGCCTCTGATCAGGAGGTTTTGAGGAGTGTGGAACCACCTCTTAATTGCTGGTGTTCCCAGGTCCACCTTTACCTGGGGTGGTAGCACCTGTTAGGGTCCCAGCTATGGGCAAATAGTTAACCCCAAAACTGAGGTAAAAAGCATTATAAAAGTGTAAAAATAAGTTTTAATACCAGAAATACTTTGTAAAAAATTATTAGCAGAAATAAATTTTTGAAGAAAAAAATCTATTACGAGCAATACATTTAAAAAAAAAAGATATTACCAATAATGTTGTTTTAGAAAATAAATATTACTAGCAATATATTTAAAAAAAAAAAATTACCAGCAATATGTTTTTGAAAAAAAAATATTACCAGCAATACATGTTTTAAAATAATATTACCAGCTATACATTTTCAAGGAAAAAAATATTACCAGAAATAGATTTTTGACAAAAAAAATATTACCAGGAAAAAAAATTGCCTGCATTAAATAACCCATTGAGGTTGATATGTTGTAAAACACACCAAACCAAACCGAATGAGAGATTTATATTTCTTAGATAAGGGTAATTGTGCCTTGCTTTGCTGTAATAACTTCTTGTGACCTAATGGTAAATTGCGCTTGCCTTGAAAGTCTTTTCCCATATTAAAAATGGAATAAATGTTTAATTCCTTTTGGGAGGCATATTTTCTTCAATAAATCAGCGAACTGGGACCTTCATGTCCACAAAAAACGGAATTTCAAAAAGACATTTTTTTTCCATTGACACTGCTATTATTATAACTACCTTCACCCCTCAGCAATGTTTATTTTAAAAAGTAATGATTAGAATTGTAATTAAACCTAATATGATGAAAGTGAATTTATACATTTTCTTTGTTCTTGAGAATTGACAACAAAAATAATAAACACTTCATTTATTATTTATTAATATTTATTTATCAAGAAATATTAAATTATGCTTAATTAACATTCAATTAATAAGACCAAGTTTCTTAAATTAAACTTTGTTAGGGGATTTCACACAAAATGGTTTGGGCAAGCTTGGACTTCCCAATAAAAAACTGAATGTCAAAATGGAGGGGTTTTTTTTTCCCTTGACACTGCTATTATTTTAACTACCTTCACCCCTCAGCAATGTTTATTGTTTTAAAATGCGATGATTAGAATTGGAATAAAACCTAAACATATGAAAGTGAATTTATTTAATATTTTCTTTGTTCTTGAGAATTGGCAACAAAAATAATAAACATTATTTATTTATTAGATTGTTTATTGGAATGATTGGTAAAACTCAATTAGAACTTTTAAAATGGTAAATAATAACAATTTCCTTATTGCTGGTTGACATATTTTAATAATTTAGTTAATGTTTATAAATTTATGAATAAAAAAATTGTTTTTGTATTTCTTTATGAATTGGTAATTGATAAATATTGCATTACATTGGCTTTAATTGTATAAGTTTTTAGAATGTTAATATAAAAGTATTCTTGTAAATAATTTCCAAGTTTGCTAATAAATCTTTTTATATCTCGGCCAGTAGACATTAATGACACTGTTTAAAAAAATAAATGTCTGTTCAAACATGAAATATAATGTTTACAGTAATAATAAATAATGATGAATAAACAAAATTTATTAAATGTGCAAATATATATATATATATATATATACACACACACACACACAGTTGTATGCATGCAGAATTGATTTTTCCTTTTCTTCATTAATTCCGATATACAGGGCAGTATGAAAAGTAATGAGACCAAAATAGAAGAACAAGTAATACAAAGCACGTCTACTGGATTCATTTTATTTAATTTCATTGATGCTGTCACACATTGAGAAGGCTTCTCTTCCAAAATGTAGGAGTTCGTCTCAGCCATCTGAAATAGAAATTATATTATACACGGGTGACAAGACTTTTGGACCACGCTGTAGATTAAAATAGTCTTAAGTAGCTAGATACAGGATGGTCCGAAAGTCTTGTCTCCGCCTACCAAAAAATAATAAATTGACTTCAGTCCTCCGTTTAGATTTAACCAGTTTTATTGACGTGGGAGATGTGAGGGAGGATTTAGTTCGGTTGTTCTTTCTTTTATATGGGAACCACCTGAATCCGGTTCTTGAACTGAATACTAGTTTTAAATCGAAGCTCACTGCTGTTAGGGTGGAAATGGGGGAAAAATAACTCAGAATTGGAATTCAAAAAAAAACTCCATATTGTTATCGGTGAATATTTGTGTAGTTGATGTAATAATTCTGTGGGACTTATCCGCGTAATCTACAGAGTGGTCCGAAAGTTTTGTCACCCCCCCCAAAAAAAAAAGTAATGAGACCAGTAGAACAAGTAATACAGTAATTACGAAGCACATATACTGGATTTAGTTTATTTACTTTAATTGACACTGTCACACATCGAGAAGGCTTTTCTTCCAAACTGTAGGAGCTCGTGTCAGCCATCTGAAATAGATTATACTATGTAAGGGTGACAAGACTTTCGGACCACCCTGTATATTTCTAGCTTGTCCCTTTCCCACTGCTGTTTTGTGTCTTAGTGGCTGTATTGCCTTGCTTGGGGGGAAATGTATGCACACGCATACATATATATCATACATATATATAACGTTATATAATTTTGTATAATTTTATATTTCAACAGTATTTAGAAAAATAGTATGATGAATTAGAAAAAAAATTTGGGGATGTGTTTAATCCATTAGGATTTAATTGGACTCGGCTTTGATGATGTTGCCATATCTAAACATGCAGATGAAATGAGAGATGCTGGTAGTTTCAAACTTTTTGAAAGAATATTTGCGTCCAGGCTATTACAGTATATTATCATACTTAGCAGATTTTCTGTCATCACAATGTATGATAGTCAGGGACAAAGGTGATGGAGAGAAAAAGAAAAATAATACAAATGAATTTGGCTAGATTGAAAAAATATTCTTTCAAAATAAAAAAAATAAAATTCTTTCAAAAATTTTGAAACTTCCAGCAACTCTCGTTTCATGCTCATATGTCAATGTGACAACATCAACAAAACCCAGTCAGATAAAACGCATCACAATAATACTTTTTACAATTTATCATATCATTTTTATATATATATATATATATAAGGTTTGTCACTTAGCTAATTGATATTACCTTCAGCATCCCGACTCCAGAGTTTCGGCGACAGACCTATCCATCCACTCGTCAGTGGGGTATCAGCAATTGACTGCTTATACTTCTCAATTTTTCTTTTTTACATGCACTTATTATTGGGCAAGTTTTTTGTTTGTTTTTGTTTTTTTCATTGTGTAAAAAAATGCGTTCACGTGTAATAACTTTATTTTTTTGTAAATTTTTTCCTTATTTATCCATTTCAGTTTTTTTCCTATTTTTCTAATATATATATTATATTATATAACTTATATATATATATATATATATATATCTCCATCCAAATAAAGAGAAAGAACAGATTAAAAATCCACTGTTCTTTAGCATTTACTTTTTAAAAAAGTGCTCACTACAATGTAGAACAAATAAAAATATTATAATACATTATAAATATTGTACAAACGCACACATATATATAAAGTACAGACATATATATATATATATATATATATATATATATATATAAAATAATAAACACACACACACATATATAAATGTAAAACAAACATACATATATATATATATATATATATATAAAAAAAAATAATGAGAAAGAAGAGTAAGATTTATACTCCAGTGTTCTTGTTAATATTTTTATTTTAAAAAAAACAGTGCTTAATACAATTCTGCAGAGAATTGGATTTCCCCATATCCTTAGAAACTAATATTAAGAATGTATGTGCTTATAAAACTCAGTAAATTTCAAAATAAGTTATTCCAAAATCTGCTTGAAAATGAAAAAGTATTAGGGATTTTAATTCTATAAGTAAATTTGAAGTTTTTAGTTTCTGTTTTTGAAACATGGTAATTCCTGTGTAGTGATGGAACCATATTTTTAAATTAGTAAATTTGTAATTATAAGCATACACATATATGCATAAATCAATTTTTACCTTTTTTTTTTTTATTCCAGGTGTCGTAACATTTTTGCCATCCAACAAAACCTGACCAATATTACAATGTCCAGGGAATCAGACCTTGACCATGCACGACAATATTATGAACTCTTGTACATGAGTTCAGATGTAAGTGCCTCTGATTTTTCTTTTATTCTTTCTTGACATTGGCAAGTATAGCTTTTAATGACCATAGGAAATGATGCCAAACCAATGTTTAGGTGTTTGCAGTGTTCGTCAACACAAAGTTCTTAATGCAGTCCTTCAAGATTTTTAGTTAATGAAAATCAAAAAAAGTAAGCATCCAGGGTATGACAATAAACTACATCTGGCAGCAAGACCTCTGATCAGGAGGTTTTGAGGAGCGTGGAACCACCTCTGTTAGGGTTCCAGCTATGAGCAAATAGTTAAACCCCAAACTCGAGTCAAATCATGAAAGTGTAGAAAATAGATTTTTATAGTAAAAATACCAGCAATACATTTTTTGAAAAAAAAATTACCAGTAATACATTTGACTCTCAACAGAAACCCTCTTTACAAAAATACATCAATGAAACCTGATCTACAAACTAACATCTTACAAAGATTACATATTCTATTCAGACGAACATATCCTAAAAATCTTTTTGGATTTAAATAACCCTTTGAGGTGTCGATATGCTGTAAAATAAAAATAATCACAAACCCCCAAAGTATAAACCCAATGAGAATGTCAATAAAATCAATTTCATTACAAAAAGTATATCTGAAAATAATACATCAATGAAAGCAGACTCTCAACAAAAACCCTCTTTATAAAAATAAGTCAATGAAACCTGATCTACAAAATGATTTCTTACAAAGAATACATATTCTATTTATACAAACCTATCCTAAATAATCTTGTTGGCATTAAATAACCCATTGAGGTGTTGATATGCCATAACACAAAATAAACCCAAACCCCCAAAATATAAACCAAATAAGAAGGTCAATTAAATCAATTTCATTACAAAAAGGATATCAGAAAAGAATACATTAATGAAACCAGACTCTTGACAAAAACCATCTTTCCAAAAATAAGTCAATGAAATTGGATCTCCTACAAACTGATTTCTTACAAAGGATATCATATTCTATTCATACGAACATGTCCTAAATAATCTTGTTGGCATTAAACAACTCATTATAGTTGATGTTTCATAAACAAAATAAACCAAACCAGACCTTTATAACTAAGACTCACCATGGCACATATACGAGATTGAATTATCCTTATTATATCCATATTCCATTGGTAAGGAGGAAGTTCTATGCAGAAAGCTTCATCCTGAGAGCTGCTACTTCATTGACCACACTCTCGAGGGGAGGCTTCCTTAACCACTGCAATCCCAAACTCTTTGTCTAAAATCAGCCTTTGCTTACATTCAAAAACCTCATTCCGTAATCCACTGTCTTGAGTGAATTGTGCATGTGGTTGAGTTAAACTTTTGCTTTCTCACCATGAGACCTGAAATATCAACATGGTCAAGCGGTTACAAAAATATGCCAATGAAACTGAATCTCCTGCAAACTGATTTCTTACAAAGAATATCATATTCTATTCATACGAACCTATCCTAAAAATCTTGTCAGCATTAAGTAACCCATTGAGGTGTTAATATGCTGTAAAACTAACCGAAAAAGCAAATATATTTTTGAAAAACGATAGGCTTAGGATTGCTTTTGGATATTTCAAAGATAGCTTGGATTTAACCATGATATGTCCAAGGAGTTGAAACATCCTTATTTCCACCATATTCCAGATATACAAAGAAAGTTCCACTCAAACAACTTTGTGAAACAGACTCCCATGTGGGTGCTTCCAATCCTAACTCTACAAGTCAAGGGTCAGTCATTACTTTCCCCTTTATCCTCATTTCCAGTCACCTCCTCTTCTATTCATGTTGCACAAATCATTCATCATTAACATTTTAACAGTAAACTTCTACCTTGACTGACTCTCGAGCTTTGTATTAGGTGAAGTCTACTATGTCCCTTCAGTGGATGATCATAGCTCTCCACAATTTCCTGTCCTGTGTACCACTAAGTAAAGTTTATCTTTTAGCTATCTCTTCTAATCCCTGTCCTGCCAACCATTTACACAAACTCGACAGGTATGTTATTTGCTGCTTTTCTCTGTCTCTCTTGCTATCAATATATCTTGTGAGTTTCAAATTCTCTAAGCCCTCTTTCCTCATTATGTGCCCTAGAAATTTCAACTTTCTTAATCTAAGTATCCTTTTGTTTCTATCTTCCCTAAAAAACAATTGCTCACATGTTCAGTCCACAGTATTCTCAGTATCCTTCTGTAGAACTATATTTTGTTGCCACAAGTCTCTTCTTTGTGAGATTGTTCAGCATTCACTGCCATATGGGAGGACTGATATTATGTAACAAATCAGTACTCTTTTCTTTGTTTCTCTTGTTTCAAGTCTCTTCTTCATCTGTGAGGAGATTGTCCAGCATTCACTGCCATAAAGGAGGACTGATATTAAGTAACAATTTAGTACTCTTTTTATTTGTTTCTATTGTTTCAAGTCTCTTCTTCATCTGTGAGGAGATTGTCCAGCATTCACTGCCATATAGGAGGACTGATATTACGTAACAGTTTAAGTACTTTTTTTGTTTCAGTAAGTCTTTGTCCAGCATTCAAATTAGGAGGACTGATTTACTAATTTCAGAACTTTTTCTTGTTTCTCTTCTTCATTCATCTGTGAGGAGATTGTCCAGCATTCACTGTCATATAAGAGGACTGATATTATGTAACAGTTTAGTACTTTTTTATTTGTTTCTGTTGTTTCAAGTCAAAACTTCATCTGTGGAGGAGATTGTCCAGCATTCACTGTCATATAGGAGGACTGATATTATGTAACAGTTCAGTACTCTTTTCTTTGTTTCTCTTGTTTCAAGTCTCTTCTTCATCTATGAGGAGATTGTCCAGCATTCACTGTCATATAGGAGGACTGATATTATGTAACAGTTCAGTACTCTTTTACTTTAGGACAAAAGGAAAACTTAGTTGACATGTTTTGTCCTTTGATGGTCTTTATCATGGCAAATATAAGGATTTTATTTTGCAACAATTATTTATACACAGAAGTCAAAATGTTGTAAGAATTTTTAAATTTAAGAAAGCTAAGTGATGTCATTTAATATCTAATAAATGAAAGTGAGTAAAAAGTTATTGTTGAATATTTTTTTATTATGCAATTATTATTTATATTATTTTCATAATTTATACATTACTGTATATACTCACATATCATGCGACTTTTGAAGACCCACTAAAAATTAACAGAGTAATATTTATACATAAAAGTAAAAATGTTAGTTTTTCAGAGCTTTGTTGTAGCATACCTACGGATGATAATGGGTATGTCCCCATTCACATAAATACAGTAGTAAATACTGTATGTTGGTCTGCAGTTGGAGATTCATTGTGTTTACTTGACTCACTTCTAGCAGATGACTACTTCTTCTATGCACCACTGGTCAATATTTTATGTGTTGTTCTTGTCCTAAGTATTATCGTTCATTACCAACCTTCGTTTGATTATTATATTCAGTAACCTTCCCTAGGTTACAACAAGAACATACATAAATATACATCAACTAAAAGTCCAGATAAACTATGGTGGATTTTAAGTGATGTCATTTTATTTATCTAATAAACGAAAGTAAGTAAATGTTGCTGAAATTTTTTTTATAATTATTATTTATATTATTTTAGTTTGAGAAATTTCTATATATTTCAAATAATAGAAGGTTTTGAATTTAAACATTTTTTAATTTTAAAAATTTTTTATAGTCATATATGTTGGCTTGGGAGAAGAATATTTCCTATAAAAAAGGAGATATTTGAAAAAAAATCAGAGGTGCAGATTTATGTTTTGGTAAGATACAATAGCAGCACTTTCAGGAATTTTCTAAGTTATTTCTCTTTTAATAACTGGCATTCTTTAGAGTGAAGTTGGGATTGAATTTATTTCTATGTATGAGTAATATATTTGATAAATTGTTGTGTATAAGATCTGTGTTATATATTTTGGCTGAGACGTAAGGTGAACAGGAATGAAGATGAGGACAGTAGTCTGTATGTAAGTTGTCTAAAAAAAAAATGATAAAACCTCATCCTAGAAACTTAGACAGAAACTATTTTATTACAAAATTGCTTTGTGAGGAGAAAGGGATTTGAATTTGTGGACTGCTTATTCTTCACTTTAAATCCAATTTATTCTGAGATGTCTTCTAACAGCTGTAGAAGAAAGGCCTCTTTCATTGTTTTTAATCATTTCACCCCAAGCAAGGTGGGAATGCCACTGATTTGCAAGTGGCCACAAGGAGTGAAAGTGAGAGAAAAGACTGAGTATAGGGAGGATTGAGGAAAGGACAAAAGATGAATGGGATTCAAGAAGCCAGAAAATGGTGATTGACGTTGCATTTAAATTTTGTTAATCATTTCACCCCAAGCAAGGCGGGAATGCCTCTGGTTTGCAGGTGGTTACAACAGGAGAAAGAGAATGGGAAGACTGAGAATAGAGAGGATTAAAGAAAGGACAGAAGATTAACAAGGTTCAAGATGGCAATTGATTTTCCATTTAAATTTTTGAAGATTGCACCTATCAGGGAAGCAAGGAAATGGAAGGGAGTTCCACAGGCAGGAGGTGCGAGCAACAGCAGGGAAAAAATGATTGTCAGAGCAGTTGCCATGAAAATGTTTGTAGAAAAGACAATGGGAAGCCACATGACATTGGTGAGAAAAAAAAGTTATAGTCAAGATGCCTGGTCTGGATCGATTACATTAGAGATCCTTCTTTGGATTTTGTCAAGAACATCAAGAGGTATGGCAAGAGCACCAGACCAGATATGGCAACAGTACTCTGAGAAATTTTGTTTTTAAAAAGCAATGGAAATTCAGATCAAAAATTACTGGCAAAAAAGAAAAAATGAGTTTTCATTGTTTTTATTTTTTGTTTTTTTTTTTGGGGGGTTGTTTTTGTATTTTTGTATTCTTGTATTTTTGTAAAAAAATTGTATTTTTTTTTTTTTTTGGGGTTTTGTATTTTTGGGGGGTTTGTATTTTGGGGGTTTTTGTATTTTTTGGTTTT